GATGAATACCCATGATTTCCACTGATATGGATGGAACCAGAAGGAATTATGTGAAGTGAAATAAGTCAAGCAGAGAAAGACAATTATCATATGGTTTCACTCATATGTGGAACATAAGGAATAGTGCAGTGGACCACAGGGGAAGGGAGGGAAAACTGAATGGGAAGAAATCAGAGGGAGACAAACCATGGAGACTCTGGACTCCAGGAACCAAACTGAGTGTTACAGAAGTGAGTGGGGTAAGGAGATAGGGTAAGTGAGTGATAGGTATTAAGGAGGGGACATGTGGTGATGAGCACTGAGTATTATACAGAACTAATGAATCATTGAACACTGCATCTCAAAAACTTAAGATGTACTATATGTTAGCTAATTGAATGTAATAAAAAAGTGGAAAAAATGTCTATGCTACCCAAAGCAATCCATATATTCAAAGCGATCCCTATCAAAATACTATCAACAGTTTTCAAAGAGCCAGAACAAACAACCCTAAAATTTGTATGGAATCAGAAAAGACCCTGAATAGCTAAAGTAATGTTGAAAAAGAAAATCAAAGCTGAGCATCACAATGCTGGATTTTAAATTCTGTTACAAAGCTGTAATCATCTAGGCAGTATGATACTAGCACAAAAACAGACACATAGTTTAGTGGAAAAGAACAGAGAAACAGAAATGGACCCAAAATTGTATGGCCAGCTAATCTTCAACAAAAGAGAAAAGAATATCCAATGGAAAAAAGACCATCTCTTCAACAAATTATGTTGGGAAAATGGACAACAACATGCAGAAGAATGAAACCAAACCACTTTCTTATACCATACACTAAAATAAATTCAAAATGGATGAAAATGTGATACAGGAAACCATCAAAATCCTAGAGAAGAACACAGGCAGCAACCTCTTTGACCTCAGCTGTAGCAACTTCTTACTCAACATCACCACAGGAAAGGGAAATTCAAAAAAAAAAAGTGAACTATTGGGATTTCATCAAGATAAAAAGCTTCTGCACAGTAAAGGAAACAATCCACAAAACTAAAATGCAGCCTACAGAATGGGAGAAGATATTTGCAAACAATGTACCTGATAAAGGGTTAATATCCAAAATCTATAAAGAACCTGTCATGGCGCCTGGGTGGCTCAGTGGGTTAAAGCCTCTGCCTTCGGCTCAGGTCATGATCCCAGGGTCCTGGGATCGAGCCCCACATCGGGCTCTCTGCTCCGCAGGGAGCCTGCTTCCTTCTTTCTCTCTGCCTGCCTCTCTGCCTACTTGTGATCTCTGTCTGTCAAATAAATAAAATCTTAAAAAAAAAGAAAAAAGAACCTATCAAATTCAACACCCAAAAAAAAAAAAAAAAGATAACCCAATTAAGAAATGGACAGAAGATATGAATAGACACTTTTCCAAAAAAGACATCCTGATGGCTAATGGACACATGAAAATATGCTCAACATCGCTCATCATCAGGGAAATACAAATCAAAACCATGATGAGATACCACCTCACAACTGTCAGGATGGGTAAGATAAACAGCACAAGAAACAACAGGTGTTGGTGAGGATGTGGAGAAAGGGGAACCCTTTTGCACTCTTGGTCAGAATATAAAATGGTGAAGCCCCTCTGGTTAATACTATGGAGGTTCCTCAAAATGTTAAAAATAGAACTGCCCTGCAATCCAGCAGTTACACTACTAGGTACCCAAAGAATACAAAAATAGAGACTTGAAGGGATATATGCACCCCAATGCTTATAGCAGCATTATCAGCAATAGTCAAACTATGGAGAGACCCCCAATGTCCATTGACTGATGAGTGGATTAAGAAGATGTGGTATAAAATCAATGCACAGAAATCAGTTGCTTTCTTATATACCAGCAATGAAAATATAGAAAGGGAAATTAAAGAATTGATTCCATTTACTGTAGCACCAAGAACCATAAGATACCTGGGAATAAACCTAACTAAAGAGGTAAAGGATCTGTACTCAAGGAACTATAGAACATTCATGAAAGAAATTGAAGTTGACACAAAAAGATGGAAAAACATTCCATTTTCATGGATCAGAAGAAACATTGTTAAAATGTCTATACTTCCCAGAGCAATGTATACTTTCAATGCTATCCCAATCAAAATTCCACCAGCATTCTTCGAAGTGCTGGAAAAAACGATCCTAAAATTTGTATGGAACCAGAAAAGACCCTGAATTGTTAAGGAACTGTTGAAAAAGAAAAAACTGGGGGCATCACGTTGCCTGATTTCAAGCTATATTACAAAGCTGTGATCACCAAGACAGCATGGTACTGGAATAAAAACAGACACATAGACCAATGGAACAGAGTAGAGTCCAGATATGGACCCTCAACTCTGTGGGCAAGTAATCTTTGACAAAGCAGGAAAAAATAACCAATGGAAAAAAGACAGTCTCTTCAATAAATGGTGCTGAAAAAACTGGACAGCTATATATAGAAAAATGAAACTTGACCATTCTCTCACACCATACACAAAGATAGACTCGAAATGAATGAAAGACCTCAACGTGAGGCAGGAATCTATCAAAATCCTAGAGGAGAACATAGGCAGTAACCTCTTTGACATCAGCCACAGCAACTTCTTTCAAGACATATCTCCAAAGGCAAAGGAAACAAAAGCGAAAATGAACTTTGGGGACTTCATCAAGATCAAAAGCTTCTGCACAGCAGAGGAAACAGTCCACAAAACAAAGAGGCAACCCATGGAATGGAAGAAGATATTCGCAAATGACAGAAAAAGGGCTGATATCCAAGATCTGTAAAGAACTCCTCAAACTCAACACCCAAAAAACAGATAAGGATGTCAAAACATGGGCAGAAGACATGAACAGACACTTCTCCAAAGAAGACATACAAATGGCTAAAAGACCCATGAAAAAATGTTCATCATCATTAGCCATCATAGAGATTCAAATCAAAACCACATTGAGATACCACCTTACACCAGTGAGAATGACCAAAATTAGTAAGACAGTAAACAACAACTGTTGGAGAGGATGTGGAGAAAGGGGGACCCTCTTACACTGTTGGTGGGAATGCAAGTTGGTGCAGTCACTTTGGAAAACAGTGTGGAGATTCCTTAAGAAATTAAAAATAGCACTACTACAATTAGTAGTACAAGTAATACAAGTTAGTAGTACAGTAGTAATACAATTAATAGTATAAGTAATGGTACTACTACAGTTGCACTAATGGGTATTTACCCCAAAGATACAGATGTAGCAAAAAGAAGGGTTATATGTACTCCGATGTTCATAGTTAAGTAAAAAAACAATGTATACAATACCTTGTCTTTGAGGCTAAAAAAAAAAAAATGGGAGGAAATAAGAAGCCATATATTTGCGTAAAGAATTCTCAGGAAATACATTGAAAACTACAAATACTGATTAGACATAAGAGCTGGATAGAGAGGAAAGAAGCCCAAACAATTTTTTTATGAAGTACTTTTTTGTATGTTTTTATATTAATATATGTTAACATTCTAATTAAAAATATAATTCAAATAAGGATATTTTTTAAAAGAAGGAAAGAAGAGAAGAAACTGGTAACCCAAGTGCGAGATCATTAGAAGATATAGAAGGAGAGAAAAAGCCCTGATTCAAACAACCAAAAAGGAACTACAAATGCAGATACTAAAGAATGTAGACTATAAATTCCTAGTTTTCCTCACCCTGGTACTACCCTCAAGAAGCATGGGGAAAGTAGAATGGAAATTAGAAATAAAAGTCAAAAGAGGGAAAATATTAGTTTATGCAGAAAAGACATCTTTGCGGAATGATGGAAGGAGCACAGGCTTTAGAATAAGATTGAAGAATTCCAGTTCTTTCTATTTACTAACCATATGTCTTTGGGTAAATTATTTAATTACTTCCAGCCTTGGTGATTAATTTCTAAATTCCTATGTCACTTAATTGAAATATATTTTAGAAAGATATGTTATCAAAGAGTAAAAATTGATTTAAGTAAAATGCCATTACTATACTTAAATATTGACTGTTAACTTATGGGGGAAAGCCCTTATTTGTAACACCACACTCATTTTTTTAAGATTTTATTTATTTATTTGACAGAGAGAGAGAGATCACAAGTAGGCAGAGAGGCAGGTAGAGAGAGAAGGGGAAGCAGGCTCCCCGCTCAGCAGAGAGCCCGATGCGGGGCTCGATCCGAGGGCCCTGAGACCATGACCCAAGCCGAAGGCAGAGGCTTAACCCACTGAGCCACCCAGGTGCCCTAACACCACACTCATTCTGAAGAGTTGAGTTATTATGCCCATGAAATTGGTGGTATTTTGGAGGGATAAGGTAGTAAGGGAAGAGGGGGTGGTATATATTGGTTGCATGTTTCGGCGTTTATATGTGGGTGTCTCTTAGAGCAAAAGGATTGTTAAAAAGCATTAAGAAAATTTAGAGGTAACCCTTTTTTATTTGAATTTCCTAACTGTAATGAGGAAGTCTCTTTTACTGATCCCCACATTCATCATAAGTTTTCTACTCTCAACCTTTTTGCCCTTGTTGCTTTTTTTTATTTTTTTAACCACTGGAATAACCCCTCTCCAATTCTGTCAAGAGTTTAAAAATCTGTTAAGGTTACACAAAATCCACCAACTTGACACCTCCTTACAGTAATTCAACCAATCCTGTATTCTTTTATTTCTGAAATCTTATAGCATAAATTTCCCATATGGTTTTTTAAAATTGTTTAGATGATGACAGTCTTTCCCTTGCAAAAACTGTAAAAAGCTTAAAAGTAAGCATAATTTCATGCATGTTTTTATGTCTGACTTGAAAGATAATAGACATATACTAATTGTTGTTTCAAAAATTTTGACCTAGATTACTCAGAGAACCCTAAAGATTGTCACCACAACGGCTCAGACATCCTAACCTTTTCCACTGCTACACCTTTTCCCCTTCCCCTAAGGGCCCCTGTAAAAACTGGTCTCTGGCTAAGCAGAGATATACTTGATATTTTCAGGACTCACTGACATTCGAGGACGTGGCTGTGAACTTCACCAGAGAAGAGTGGAACCAACTGTACCCTGCTCAGAAGATCCTTTACCGAGATGTGATGCTGGAGAACTACAGGAATCTGGTAGCACTGGGTAAGGATGTTGTCCCTGTAAAACTAGAAACCATTCTAAATGGGTTTATTCCCTTAAGTAGTGAAAATTTCCAAATCTTTTGTAAATATAGTTCAGGCCAGCACAGAATGCTAATCAGTGCCGGAGACAGGACCTTTGTTTCTTGCTGTTTCTCCTCAGGTAAAAAGTCTTGACTTTGTTGAGCTTGAGATGGGTATCTTTATTTTGCTGCCTCGGAAGTTTCCCCTTTCTAAATCCAGAGGCTCCAAAGACCAAAAAGGTTGGAAATGAATTCTAAGAGAAATTTTTGTTCCTAGTACAAACTTCTATGACATACATTTTTTCCATGAATAGGGCATCAACTTTATAAGCCAGAGGTGATCTCTCAGTTGGAGAAAGAAGAACAGCGGGGGATGGAAAGGTACAGCACACTGGACGCTCACACAGGTGAGGAGCAAGCATTTGGGTATTTGCTGCTCAGTGAAGAGAAGCAGTCACTTCTGAAACATTCAACTGACTGTGCTCCAAGTCTTTGCCTCTGGGGTTTACAGAATACTGAGACCTTTTTAAAAATTCAGTTTATGTTTGACTTTGTTCCAAACTGGAAATGGCCCTCTTATTTTTTTCCAATTATACAGATAATATATACTTATCATTAAAAAATTCACACAACACAAAAGTTAGTGTGAAGGTATTAACTCTAACGTTCATGAATACTTTGATGTTGCAGATCTCCACATAGAATTTTCTGTTTCTTCATTCCTTTTCCTTTTGTTATCAAACTCTTTAAACTTGTCTAAAACCCATAGCCTCAATTTTAATTCTCTTGATTACCTTTGTGACATGACTCCTGTCCTATCTGTACTATTAAAGTGGTTTTCTTGGAGATTATTACCAACTTCCTTCAGTCAAATCTGGTGGCTTAAAAAAAAAGTTATTGTCTCCTCTAATCTTGTTGCATTGGATTGTGTTGACTTTACTTTTTTAGAAATTTTCTTTCACTCTGGCTTGCGATGTACACGATTCTTGCCTTTTGTAGTCTGTGTCCAGTATCTCTATCTGCTCCTACACTGCTTTCTCTCCCTTTTTAGTCTTCTAAATGTATATATTCCTACAGGCTTAGTGTTCTGCTCTGTAGTATATTCCTTTTAAGTAACCCTTCTATGGCATTTTCCCATTTCTGTATTTTTAGCCTCAATATTTCACCCACATAATCTTCCCAGATTTTAGATTATATTTTTGTTTCTGAATGTCATACCATCATCTTAATTAAATATTTCAAAACCTGGATCTGTTGATGTTATACTCTCTCTTTAAAGCATCCATGAAATAAGAGAGTTATTAACTAAAAAATAAAAACAAAAACAAAACCTTAGCTCCCTCTTGTTGGCATACCACCAAAAATGTTCTGCCTGGTTGTATCAGTAAGTAGTTCACTTCTAAATATATGCCAGATACTGAGTTAGGTATTTTACACTGTAGTTTTTTATCCTGGACTCAGCTACCCCATCTCTATGTAGTTTCCACCCTGATTATTTGCTCTGGCACAGTGTTTTCCCATTTGGACTTGGTTTTCTGCCATTCGGACCTCAGCTTCTTTCTCAGGGTGGCTTTGACTTGGCTGTCCTTCTTGCTTTTAGTGCTCCAGGTCATCTTGGGTGAGAAACCTGCTCCTCTTTCAGCTTCACTTTACCTGAATTTTGGTCTGACCAGTGCTGGCATTCTATGGGTAGAAGCTAATAAAACATTTTCTCAAGAACCCCCGAACACTTTCTCCAACAGTAGTAGGTGACGTTATTTCTATGAATCTCCACACCCTGAAACCTGGGAAGTAGGAAACTAAAGGAAGAAGATGAAAAACACCCTGGGCACCTGGGTGACACAGTGGGTTAAGCGTCTGCTTTCAGCTCAGGTCATGATCCTGGAGTCCCAGGATCAAATCTGCATTGGGCTCCCCACTCAGTGGGTAGTCTGCTTCTCCCTCTCACCTCCTCCCCTCTCATGCTCTCTCTCTCTCTCTCTTGCCCTCATTCTCTCCCACAAATAAATAAATAAAATCTTAAAAAAAAATAAAAGAAAATGAAAATGAAAAACTCTTTTCCCAGGTGAGTTGCCAGCATAGGCCCCTTACAGCAGAAGGCAAATCTATTGTTTCCCTCAGGTGTTTTTTCCTTCAGGTATTTTTTTCCCACAGGCAAGTCCATTTGTAGGATTCATGCTATTTCCCATATATCCCTATCCACAGACCCCCAGCTAGAGAAAATAATCACTAACTTAAGAAAGTTTCCAGAACTTACTTTGTGGATTCTTAAGGCTCTTGGTTCACAGGTCAGGTTGAACAAATTATTTCCTCATATCCGCCTTGTAAGGAACAAGCAGCCTGGCAGTCTCCTTCAAGGAGACAGCTTGCATTTTGGCATTATCCTGTAAGACACAGGGACACAGTCAATGGTTCCTCTTATAAGGCTGAGGTAAGACATTTCTGTTGATGGCCTCATGTAACTCTGGCTTGCCCTCTGGGGTGCTGCTTGCCTTATTGGCATCTGTTGATGCCTGTTTACCTAGAAACCTCCTCCTCACTGAGGTAAGACCTAGTAAATGTTTGATTTAGCAACAAAGAGGTTAGCAATTATGTTAATTAATAAGAGAAATAACATGGGGTGCCTGGGTGGCTTAGTCATTCAGCATCTGCCTTTGGCTCAGGTCATGATCCCAGGGTTCTGGGATCAAACCCCGCATCGGGCCCTGCATCGGGCTCCTTGCTCAGTGAGAAGCGTGCTTCTCCCCACTCCCACTCCGCCTACTTGTGTTCCCTTTCTTGCTGTGTCTCTCTTTGTCAAATAAATAAAATCTTTAAAAAATAAGAGAAATAATAGGGGAATGATTAGAAGAAAAATCAGTTAGTACATTTTTGAATGACAGGAGATTAAAAGGTGGACCTTGTAAGTATACAGTATTCTTACAAGAAGCTCGAATGAGAAAGGGAGACAATAGAGGATAATGAGAGAATAGAAGGTGGTGTCAAAAGAGGATTGTTCAAAGCAAGAATAATTTTAGGGGCGTCTGGGTGGCTCAGTGGGTTAAAGCCTCTGCCTTCGGCTCAGGTCATGGTCTCAGGGTCTTGGGATCGAGTCCTGCATCAGGCTCTCTACTCAGCAGGGAGCCTGCTTCCTCCTCTCTTCCTGCCTGCCTCTCTGACTACTTGTAATCTCTGTCTATCAAATAAATAAATAAAATCTTTTAAAAAAAAGAATGATTTTAGCTTGTTTATAATACTGAAGAAAAGGGGTTAAAAGAAGGAATAAGTAGAAAATAAATACAAAATACAGAGCAAGGTTCTAGAAGAGATGGGAGTGGGATTGGGAAGGAGATTAAGGTGATTTTGTATGTAATAAGTTTGTTGGTGGGAGATTTGGGGGAATTCACACATGGTTATTTCTACTTTCTTGGTGCAGTTGAAGGCAGGGTCCCCTGTTGAATGTAAAGGAATTGTGGGGCATAAAGACAGAACTTGAGGAACACTTGCTCTAGCCTGTTAAGTTCAATGGAAGCTGACCAAAGATGAATCAAGAGATTACCAAGCAGCTTTGAGGATCCAGATGAGATTTTGCCCCATGGATTTGTGGTTTCCAGTGTCCGTGCATATGCCATTTCTCCTATTCTATTCTGCACCAGAAAGGCTTTGTAGAGTTCAGACCAAGGGCCTGCTAGATGAGTGGAACTAAAGGAAGAAAAATGCGAGTTTGTTAATTCAGGTGATTTGACATAGATTCCAGGAAGTGACAAGAAGTAAAGTAAGGCCTGGAGAGGACTGGAAACTAGGAAACAGTGGATGGGTTAAAGCAGTGGTGTTCCAGATGAGATCGAAAGCAAGTAGCATGTGAATAAGGACATTGTATACTTCCCCGGCAAGAGAGTGTGACAGTGAGTTTGAGACTCTTTATATGGATCTGAGTTCAGAGTATAACTGTATTAACCAAGTGAATAACTGTTGAAGTGGAGTGAAGATAAAAGCATAAACAACTACCCAGTTAGAAAATAAGATGGAAGAGAAGAACCCATTTAGTAGTAACCAAAAAATAAAACACCTAGAAATAAACTTTTTTTTTTGCTTTTGATAGGAAATCTTTGATTGCTCAGTCAAGACATTTATGGTGTTGGTTGGCTTCTAGTCATCACTATGCACAAAATAAATATAGGTAACAGGAAGCGCTGCATGTTTAGAGTCCTTAAGAACAAAACCCACCTGAACTGTCCCATGTGACAAATGACTTATATACAGGGATGTTCATATTGGGGTAAACAATAAGGCTATAAACTACCTAAATGTTGACCAATAAAGGTTAAACGAATTATGGTATGCACATACATTCGATTACTGTATCACCATTATAAAGAAGGTGGATGGGACACCTGGGTGGCTCAGTTCGTTGAGCAACTACCTTCAGCTCAGGTCATGATCCCAGGGTCCTGGGATTGAGCCTCGAATCAGCTCCCTGCTCAACGGGGAAGCCTGCTTCTCCTCGTCCATTCCCACCGCTTATTTCTCTCTCTCTCTCTCTCTCTCTCTCTTTCTCTTTCTCTCTAAGCAAAATAAATCCAGGCATTTTCCAGGAAAGTGGGCACTCTATACATGAAGCAGAGTCTATTGTTTCTGAGTCACCAGGTCTCAGGGAAAGAAGGCAGACCCAGTGTTACAAAGGCCCACATGGAAACAAGCTAGGCAGAGTATTTCCCTGCCTTCGCCCAATCTCCATACAGCCAAAAATAATCACCTTGTGACTCACACACATTCCAGTGTTTGCTTGAAATAAAGGCCTGCCATCAGGATACAGGGTTCAAATGGAAGAGAAATTCAGAACGATTAGGGAGAAAAATTAAATGCACTAGAAATAAACTTTTAACAAGAAATGGTGCAATACCTGCATGAAGAAAACTTTAAAACACTCTGACAGACACAAAAATAAACTTGAATAAATGGACATACCAAGATGTCAGTGTCCCTAGTATACATGTACTATAATCCCATAAAAAGTGTCTTCAGGATTTTAGAGGGATCTAGATAAGCTCATTCTAAATTTCATATTGGTTATATGTTGGCTAATTGGACACATAAAAAGATGAAATAGAAAAGAAAAAACCCAAAACAAAAATAATCTGGAAAACTCAGAGAAAAACAAGAGGAATTGTCTCGATTAGATAATATTCAGTAAAATTTTATTAGAACAGGGCAGACCAACTGAACAGAATAGGACATCCAGAAATAGACTTAGATGTATGCAGGAGTTCAGTAGACAATAAAGGCGTTATTTCACATCAGCAGGGGAAAGGTGAACATCTTAAGAAAATGGTATTGAGCCAACTGGTATTTAAAAGGTAGACTTTTTTTTTAATTTGAGTATAACTGACATACAATATTACATTAGTTTCAGGTACACAACATAGTGATTCATATTTGTACTATGCTCACCACACGTATAAAAAGTAGATTTTTTAATGAATAGTGAATAGCCATCTGGAAAGAGATAAAATTAGATCCATAACTTACCCCTCAAACCAAGATACCTCAAAGGAATCAGAGGCTTTAAATGTAAAACATGAAACCATAAGAGACCTGGAAGAAAACACAGGAGAAATCTTTTATAACCTTGAAATAGAGAAATCATTTCTGAGTATGTTTCAAAATCTAGGAGCCATAAAAGAAAAAGATTTATACATTCAACAGACACAAATCCCTGAACTCTGCGTGGTGTAGAACAATAAGCAGGGTAAAAAGGCAAGTGGCAATAAAGGGAAATATTTGCAACTTCTATCAAAAGGGCTAAGTTCCCATTAATAAAATGCTCCTCCAACTCAGGAAGAGGCCAACAGCCTAATAGAGTACACACATCTCTGAACAGTTCCTAGATAAAGGAATACAAATACATTTAATGTAAGAAAAAATGTTCAGCCTCGCTCATAAGAGAAACACAAACTGAAAATACAGATTACCTTTTTTCATCTCTCAGTTTAGCAAAAGTCCAAAAAGTTGCCCACACTGTTGAAAACTCTGTAGGGAAGAAAACACTCATACATTGCTAGTATAAGATGAATCACCCAGTCAGCATAAGGGTTAGGGTTAGGGTTAGGGTTAGGGTATGTATGAGAGTGCTTTCTTCCCTACAGATTATCACAGGGGGTTCCCTTTCCAGATAACCCTGTTTGGTATTATAGACTGTTTGGATGAATAGACATTGTCTACAGTCACATGTTTTTGTAAACAATTTTATGGGAACTGAGCCACACTCACTCTGTCACTCATATTGTATGTGGCTGCTTTCACTCTATGACAGCAGAGTTGATTAAACAATAAAGCCCGTATGACCCACAAAACTTTAAATATTTACTATGACCCTTTACAGAAAAAGCATACCGACCTCTGTCAAAACAGTAATTTTTAATTATTTATAACCAGCATCCTCATTAAGAAATTCATTTTTATTGCAACCCATAAGATCTGTATAATCTATACAATTGAGACAGTCTTACCAAAAAACATTTATCCTTCTATGTCTGATGAACTGATAGTTTCTAACGTTTTTTAGCCTGTTTTCTCTCAGTTTTAATGTATTGTTCTATCCACTAAATTAATATTATAACCCACTATAAATCATGGCACTTTTTTTTTAAGTAACAAAAGAGAACTAGAAATACTATAGTACTTTACACATAGAAAGGATAAACTTGGGGCACTTGGGTGGCTCGGTTGGTTAAGCATCTGCCTTCGGCTCAGGTCATGATCCTGGAGTCCTGGGATCAAGCCCGCATCAGGCTCCCTGCTCTTGGGGAGCCTGCTTCTCCCTCTCCTGCCTGCTCGTGCTGTCTTGCTCATAAATACATACATACATACATACATACATACATACATACATACATACATACACACACATATACATACATACCTACAATCTTTTAAAAAAAGATAAAATTTTAAAATGTTTTCCTCCCTCCCTTTCTCCCTAATTCTTTCCTTTTCTCCCTTCTCTCCTTCTTTCCCTTCCTCTCTCCTTTCTTGTTTCCTTTCTTCTGACTTCTAAACAGCTTATTTCAAAAGGCATTGGATGAGGCTAAGCAGGGTAAGTTGTCTACTAGATGAAGTATGGCAGTAGTGCAGAAGGCCTTCCAAGATGTTGTGGCTGCCCAGTGGCATCACAATATGCTTATTCTAAGATCCTATCTAGAAGGTATCCCTGCCTAGAAGCAAAGGATGTCAGAGGTCTAGGTACCCTAGAAATCTAATTTTATTAAAGGCTCATAACCCCAAGAGTTGATCCAGGGAATATGGAGTCAGTGGGGACAAATAGTTACCATATTGAGATTACAGTAGTTCTATGCAAATCCCCTGTTTTTCTTGATGTAGAGCCCCTGGGCTCCTGCAAGAATAATGAAAGCCTGGAACTCCCACAATAAGCTAAAGAACCTTAGTCTGTAGCTGTGACCAAGATATTGCACTTACTTAATTTAGAACTTGGGCACAAACAAAATGCATGTCATTCTCACAGTGTAGGCACAGGAAGCTCTTCTGCTTCCGTGTCTGAAAACACTTTCTTCCCAACTAGCACCTTTTCCATAATCTCAGACAACAGAGGCGTAGGCAATATAAGATGTGATAGGAAATCGATTCAGGAGAAGTATAAAGTAAGACTTGGGAGCTTCAGTGAATGGTTGGGTTTCTAGCCAGGTAAGGCCAAACCAGGAGGAAAGTAGACAGTGGATAATGAGTGAAAGGCACCAAAACATCATCTCAAATACACAGCTTGATGAAAGTATTCATCCTCATCAGTGCCCACGCTCCTTTCAAGGTAAGTTGCAGTCATGTCTGCTAACATGGGGGTTTGGGCTAAGTAAGGAGCTAGAGCAAATGGATTAGAGTTTGTTCTTCACAAATGTTCTTCACAGATAGCCCAAGATAATCACTGTCTCAACCTGGAGTCTAGACTCTGTACCCTGGCATCCCAACGGGACATAGATAGATAGCCCTGTGATTGAATATCTGATGGGCCTTGAGGGTATCCAGAGTAGGGGAACAGTGTCTATATAGTCCATGCATTGTCACTCCTCCTGGTATCAATAGATGACAAGTCTGCCAACCAGTAGCAATTTTCCCTTTTCACTCAGAGGTAAGACATGGAAAGCAGGCCATCAACAAAGGTGGCCATGAATATGTTGATCAAGCTGCCATGCTTCCAGGAATAAACAAGTTTTGGAAGCTAGGCCATAGGGAATGAAGGCCCTGAATTGTACTCCTAGGCAGAAGGAGTTGTTTCGAAACTCCAGCCAACCATTCTAAAGATTTTGGAGCCAAAGTCCCTAGGCAGACAAAAGTGTTTTGGCTGAAAATAAAGTGGCTCAGTTGATAATTTGGTTGAAAACGTCAATTGGTTTAAAACAAATATTTTAAATCACTGTTTTTTCCACATATAATTTTAGACCAGAGTAAGTTCTGTTTATGTATCTTTTTGTATATCTTTAAGCATATTGATCTGTTTTTAACGATTTTCTTTTTCTTTCTACAATTTCTATTTCATGTTCAGCCAACTATTCTTGCCATGCTGTTTGTAATAACAGTAAGTCCAGTGAAGATGTGAATTGATTAAACATAATTTGATTTATCCATAAAAGTGGGTATTTTACAACCTTTAAAAATTAGGGAAATGTATTGTTGACATGGAAGTGTGTTCCTGATATGCAGTAATGAAGAAAAAAAAAAAATTCACAGGCCTGGGTGGCTCAGTTAAGCTCCGGACTCTTGATTTTGGCTCATGTCATGATTTCAGGATTGTGAGACCAAGCCCCACATCAGTCTCCACACTGCTTAAGATTCTCTCTCTGCCCCTCCCTCACTTTCTCTCTCTCTTTAAAAAAAAAAAAAAAAAGTACAAAAGAGTATTACGGTGTAATTCCATTTTATTTTTCCAGGATAGTTTCTGGCATAATTATTAATGGTGCTCCCTTTTACTGTTAAGTGTCCTCATTAGGATGATAATCATATGTCCCAACTACAGGGGAAAACACTCTTTCAGCTTTTATATGCATTCCCTGTGGTTGAAAGACCAAGACTAGTGCATGACTTACATTTGAGAAAACTAAACCGTCCAAGGTCCAAGAACAGCTGACTGATAAAATGGCTTTTATAGGTGAGCCAGGAGAAACTGTTGAGTTAGGATCTGTCTGCACTTTGCAAGATTGTCAAGCCAAGGTATCATGGGTGTTTACGAGTCATCCAACATCTTTGATCTTGTCCAATAGGATTCATTGCTCTAGGGATGGTCCCAAGGTACTATCCAAATAAAGATTTATCTGTCCAGATCATGGAAATGAGAGGAGAAAGAGAGGTCCAGCTAAAACCTCCCAAGAATCATGAGTTCCTATTTAATCTTCTGCCAAGGTGAGAATGTGAAGCTACTCAATCATACAAAAATTAGCCTTTTAATCTCTTCCTCCACACAGCTTCTACCCTCAAACTCTTTAGACGGGAACTAAACAGGGGCACCTGGGTGACTTGGTCGGCTAAGTGTCCAACTGTTGATTCTGGATCAGATCATGATCTCAGGGTCATAAGACTGAGCCCAACAACAGGTTCTGTGCTGGTGTGGAGCCTGCTTAAGATTCTCTCTCTCCCTCTGTGCCCCCTCCCACAAAAAAAGAAGGGAACTAAACAACAGTGAGTGAAGAAAGAGGTAGCCAGGGAAATAATTAAAGTGGGAACAAGAAATGAGAGCACAGCAGCCAGGGGAAAAAACGAGCAGGAAGAGAGTAGGATGCAGAAAGAGGCAGGTGGTAGGGAGAAAGGAAGAATATGACTCTTAACAGCCAAGGGGAAGGAAAGGGAATTAATTTTGGAGTTTTGATTATTAAACAGGTGACTGAACACTTTAATTACTGATTAGAGACTGTGTTTGTAACTTAATGTAACAGTAGGAGTATTTGTTATCTAAAAATTAGGGGGAACCATGGAACCTGCCCAAATCTTCATCCAGAAGCATAATAAGAATGCCCCCATTAAATTAAGTTTAAAGAAGTAGTAGGGGACTGAAATGAAATTTTGTTTTTATCACAATTCATGCTTGTTTAGAATATGATTTACATTTATATTTGTATGAACATAGAAAAAAATCTGGCAAGACAGGCTCCAAACTATTAAAAATAATGACCTCTAAGGGGCTGATATTCTTCCTTACTGCATTTCCATATTATCTGAATGTGTTATTACAAGCAAGTATTCATTGTGTCATTTTAAGCAAAAGATAAAAATATGAAGGAATACTTTTTAAATAAACAGGGTCACTGGCACTACAATAGAATAATCCACAGATGAAATTTATAAGGTGGAGTACTTGGACCTGTCTTCCCCAAGTATAGTCTTTCCTCTAATATCTCCCACCTCTAAGCACAGAACATTCTCTGAGATTTCTTGTTCTCCTTTCCATTACCTTTCAGCTATAGATACTCCTGGATGATCTCTTCTTATGATTACCATACATGTTTTAAATTTCCCCCTGCTCACTGCTTTCCATCATCCTTTTATAGTCTCCCTTGTTATGTGGCCATATTTTGAAACTTATGCCACATACACCTTGTCCACATTACTATATATTTCCCATGGTAATTCATTGTGCAACAGTTTCTTCTTCAAAACAGAGGAGATGGCAAAGTATTTGTATGTTCTGCATTTCTTTTAGATGGGGAGAGTAGACCTGAAATCAAAAAAGCGACTCCAAACCAGAATATTTCTGATGAAAAACAAAATCATGACATGATAATGGAGAGACTAACAGGAGATAGTTTCTGGTACTCCATCTTGGGAGGACTCTGGGATTTTGATTACCAGTTAGAGTTTAACCAAGAAAACCAGCAGAGATACTTAGCACAAATATCTTTCACCCACAAAAAGATCACACAGGAGAGAAGCCATGACTGTAATAGATTTCGAGAAAACTATAACTTGAATGCAAACCCTATTATGCATCAGAGAATTCCTTCAATTAAAATACCCCTTAATTCTGACACACAAGGAAATAGCATCAAACATAATCCAGACTTGACTTACTATCAGGGAAACTATGTAAGAAATAATCCTTATGAATATAATGAGTGTGGAAAAATCTTCAATCAACATATTCTTCTTACTAACCATATTCATACTGAAGAGAAACCCAGTGAATGTGGGAAGGTTTTCAGCCACAGCTCATCTCTTACTCAACCTCAGATAGTCCTTACAGGAGAGAAGCCCTATAAGTGTGATGAATGTGGGAAAAGATTCAGCCAGAGGATACATCTTATTCAACATCAGAGAATTCACACAGGAGAAAAACCTTTTATATGCAATGAATGTGGAAAAGCCTTCCGTCAGCATTCATCCTTTACTCAACATCTGAGAATTCATACTGGAGAGAAGCCCTATAAATGCAATCAATGTGGTAAAGCCTTTAGCCGTATCACATCCCTTACTGAACACCATAGACTTCATACTGGAGAGAAACCTTATGAATGTAGTTTTTGTGGGAAAGCCTTCAGCCAGAGGACACATCTTAATCAGCATGAGAGAACTCATACAGGAGAGAAGCCCTATAAATGTAATGAATGTGAGAAAGCCTTTAGCCAGAGTGCACACCTTAATCAACATAGGAAAATCCATACTCGGGAGAAATTATGTGAATATAATAAATGTGAGAAAACCTTAAGTCCCAGTCCTTCACTTGCCCAGCAGCACATAACTCATGGCGGGGGAATCATGAATATATAAATCTGGGAAAACTTTTGGTCAGATCTTTTCATCCCTTTCAATATCAAATTATTTACAGAGGTGAGAAAACTTAAACTTTTAATGCATAGAAACTAAATAAATTTAGGTCTTAAATTAGTAGTGTATTCCAAGGAGCACTTATAAATAGTGAAAATAACTTATGTTATAAATAAGATTATATTAAGAGTCACATTCCAAATCTGATATAAAGCTTTTTTCAATGACCAGGAATCTTGTAGGCAATAATCTGTAATTATTCACCTGTAACTTTTATGATATAAAGTTTTTAAATTATGTAAACGTTGATTAAGGCAATGATGTAGTGTAACCAGTCACATAAACTTGAAATAAACATAAAGGCAATATTTCTCAAACTTTCGTCATTTGTGTGTTTCCTTTACAGTTTTTATCATATTGTGTTTACTTAATATTTTCCTTTAAAGGGACTAAGAATTTTTAACCTTGTCCTAGGAAATAGTATTTGTGGAAATTATGAGTTTTATATGTCAATTATATCTGTTCTAAAATAAATAGATATTTATCAAAATATATATAACTTCCAAATTAAAAGTATCTATTTGATGTACCACCTAAATCTGTACCTTTATTTGAGAAACAATGTGACAGGATATGACGGTGTTTGTTTGTTTATTTGTTTGTTTTTTAGCAACTTTTGCATTTTCATCAAACAAGTCCTAGGATCACTTTAAGAAGAGTCTTGGGGGAGACCGAGGGTCATAGTGATGGACTTTAAAAAGTGATTCAGAGAAGTCTACTTTTCTATCCTGTTGTTCTAGTTTAAATTTCCTTATAGCAAACAGATTGTTTCCGCTAAAATGGGTATTTCTGCTATATTTGTGGGTGTGGAGAGAGAGAAGTTTCTTCTTGTTGTTTTGTGTTGCTTTTTTTTTTCTATAATGACTAGGGGCTGAGAGTGCCTGCACCTCCCTGCACATCTGTGAAAGACAAGAAGTATGAGACTATCCCAGATGTTGAGCTGTGGTGCCATCATGAGGATAAGAACCAGGGAAGAGCCTAACTGGCTTATATAAACAACTAAGGAAGTATTACTAATTGGCTTAATAATTCATTTTATTTATTGAAATGTGTGTATATAACACCTTTCTCCAAAAAGAATTTGAGGTGGTTAAATTTTATTTTTATGAATACTGCCCTGTTTAACAGGTTATCACCTTTTGATGTTACAAAGCATTATAAATGTAAACTGTCATAAGCCACAAACAGCTGTACCTTTGGGGCTGCTTCAGTTGCTTGGTTTTCTGTTTTTCTGTCTCCTAAGTCATGGCTTGAAGAAGCCATGAAGCTAAGGTAGGATTGCATTTCCCCTTGCTTCCTCACCTTTTTTCTTCTAACATAGCTCTCAGCTCAAAGGTTTCTCTGACTTTTTCCCTCTGAAAGACTAGATTTTATAAAGTTCTTGGGGCAAAGCTGAATGCTTAAAGATTTTAAAAACCAAAACACTAAAAACAAAGAAAGTAATGAACTTGTTTTGTCACTTTTCAAAGTACATTTATGCCCCATGCATCAGTGGATGTGGAATAGTTAATAAAATCCTGAGTTACTGTAGTCAAGAAGGATTTTTAATAGTATTTTGTGTTCAAATGTCTGTGTAGTAGGGGTCCACTTTCAGGTCAGATCTGTTCTGGAAACAGCCACCAAAATGGTACATTTAACATTCATTTTCCATAAAGAGGGCACCCAGATTTCAGAAAGAGAGTGAGCCAAGGTGAAATCTCAGACCGTGGAGGTATGTATTAAAAGAAGTAATGGTTAATTACAATTGGTAAAGGCTTTGAACAAAGTTTAATTTTGCAACCAGAAAAAAAAAAGACCTATCCACAAAGAGTGTTAAGGGTTCCAATACAAGGCAGTGTATCAACACAGGTGAAAACAATGGGATTTTCAGGAGAGTTTCAGCAGAACTTAGATAATCCTAGAAAAGAACTGTCTGGACTTATCCAGACCACAGTTGCCCCCAAGATTTTCACCAATTCATCATAATAAATAAGAATTAAAAATTAGAAGCTTATTAAATTTCTTTGGGTCATAAATGATGATGCTTATCTTAGTTGTACAATAAACTATATCATTCTGGGATCAATTTCTTTTCATGTCCTTTGTTCTTATCAAAATGTTGCAAGTTAAAAAGTGAACTCTTAGTATATTGATTATGTATTGTTGTTGGAGTAGAGAAGCCAGAGGAATAGTACTCATTCAAAAACCTGTTAGTTATGACTTATTTCTGTCTAGGAGGGCAAGACATTACCCTTTCACATATCTTAGTTCATTTGGTCCATCCAACTATGTCCATTGGTCCTTTATGAAAAGAGATATTAAAGCTTATACATAATAATAAACTATTAATACAGGATTTCTCATTAGAAATGTCACTAGAACATGGATCACCTACTGGTACAGTGAATAAAAATAGTGCCTGAAGCAGCATTTTATAACACATGAAAAATATTTGTTGAATATATTAAAGTTAATAAAGCAAAAGGTTGCTGCTCACATTAAAATCTGTGTAACTTTCTCAGAACTTCAGAATGTTAAAGGATCATCAGGTTGATAGATTCTCTTATGTCCAAAGGCCTTGCAGGCTTGGAGAAATATATTTGTAACTATTTATATTTTGATTAGTGTTTATTAGTTTTAGAAACACATTCTTTAAGCAGCCAGTATTCCTCTAATTATTCACAGCTGTGAAACTAATAAATAAAAACTTACAAATTTCTAAAATTAGATATACCCACTCTTTTTAAGCACTGATTTCAATTTAAACACATCGAAGTGTTTCATTAAAATCACAAGCCTAAAAAATAAACAAATAAATAAACAAATAAATACAAATAAAAAATCACAAGCCTAAAATTTAAGATTGTATCAAATGTTTTAAATAACTTAAGAAACAGGGAAAAGGGGGCATCTGGATGGCTCAGTCAGGCATCTACCTTTGGCTCAGATCAGGATCCCAGGGTCCTGGGATCAAGCCTCAAATCGGGCTCCCTGCTCAATGGGGATTCCTCTTCTCCCTCTCCTGCTCCCCCTGTTTGTGCTCTCTCTCACTCTCATTCTGTCAAATAAATAAAAAAGAAGAAAGAAAAAAGAAACAAGTAAAAAGGGGGCACCTGGGTAGCTCAGTTGGTTAACCCTTTGCCTTCAACTCAGGTCATAATCCTGGACTGGTGGGACAGAGCCCCACATTGGGCTCCCCACTCAACAGGGAATCTGCTTCTCCATGACCTTCCTCCTGCTTGTGCTCTCTGTCTCTTTTTCTCTAAAACTAATAAAATCTGTTTAAAAAAAAAAAGGTAAAATGTAACCTGAATATTAATTATACCAAAACCATTAAAATGTTACCTACATTGATTTAATTTTTTTTTCTTATCCTTATTTGAATACTTTCCCAGGGTTTCAGCTTTTCATTTGTTCATACGTTTAGGTTGTTCTTTCCAGGTACTATTTGAATACCTTCCCTAGGTTCTAGTAATCTTATCTAACCCAAATAAGAATAATACTGTCAGACAAATTAAGTTGCAATTTATGGATTAATACCTGGCTGATTCTTAGGTCATCCATAAAACATATGTGCAAAGACTCTTCTTGGATCTCCTTTTATAACAAAATATTACTTATTATATCATGGAGCATTTTAAGACCTTTTTGTACAGATATGAAATTTTGACTCTTGAACTTTCCCAAAACCATCTATCCCATTGTCCTGTCATTTTGGTATAGGAATTTTATTGACTAGCATTATTTAAAGCTTCTTTTAAAATTCCCTTATACATTACCAGGAGAAATAGCATAACCTCTCTGGAAGGGCATTTGGCAGAATAGAGCAAACCCATTCTAGAAATTCACACTGAAGATACACCACTAATAATAATAAAATACATATGTCCAAAGTTGGTTATTAAAACACTGGAGGAAAAAACTAAATGTTTACATAAGAAATATTTCTCAACAAACTATGGTACATCCACACAGTAACGTTCTATGCATCTGAAAAAGAATAAGCTAATCTGGAGTGAATGATACTTTCAGAATATGTTAAATGAAACAAGTGTGGAAAAGCATATATAGAATGTTACTTTTTGTAAGAAAGAAAAAGAATGCACATGTATTTGATTATCTTTGCAAAAATAAATACAAGAAGGACTAACCAGAAACAAATAGGTCACCTATGGGAACAAGAACAGGGTTACAGGGATTGGAAAGGAATGAAAAAGAAACTTCTCTGAATATATCTTTTTATATTTTTGAGTTTTGAACCATTTTAATGACTTGCAGATTCAAAAATGAAGATTAAATTTAAAATGATAGGTTTCTCCCTATCCTTGAATACAAAACTGTATACAAATACAAATGAACCTAACTGTATAGAATATTGATAATAACCACACAGAAAAAAATCATCCCAATAAATTTTTAACACAGTGCTGTCATTGTAGGCAGTAAAGACAAAAAAAATTCAAAAAGCAATCTCAAATATACTTAGCATGTTTGTTGTTAGTGGCGATATTAATTCTACAATTACAAAAGTATCTAGTGTGTACTGTAGCATTTGGCAAGTCAATCATTGATGTTGCTGGAGTGGGGACCAAGGTTTTCACTGTGGGAGAAAGGGGATAAAAACAAAGAATAGGGGGGAAAGAAGAGGCACATTGTTTTTTAGAGGTTTCTGTTATATGACTGTATGCATGCACACAGGCTTCTCTATGTGTATTTGAATATACAGATAGCTACATCCTCTACAATATTCTGGAAGCAAAAAAATTCCTGTAGCAAAGCGCTCACCTAACACCAAGATCTTGATTTCTAAATACTATTCCCCACTGAAACTTCTTGGAGAATTTGCTGATCCAATAACTGAGATAGGAAAAGTACAGGTAAGCCTGGATCACACTTTTTTGCCAGAAAGCAAGAAATTCACAGAAAGCAAGAAATTCACAAAAACTAATGGAGGCAAGTTCAGAAAGACACAGACATCAACGTAACAAGGTTCCCACTGGCTAATTTTGGAAAAATGTGGACTTCAAAATGAATGGGAGGAATAAAACAGTAAATTTAAAAATCCATTAGTCCATACAAATACAAAAAGTCAAAAATTTTAAAGGGGTGAATGCAAAAGAAATGAATCTATCTCAAAAACATACTTAGTGAAAGAAGCTAGACTTAAAATAGATACCATAGGATTCCATTTATGTGAAGATCTAGAATAAATAGTGTTAATGTATAGTGATAGAGATTAGGTCAGCGGTTGCTTCCGGAGGAGATGGTTTGACTAGGAAGGGACATGAGGAAATTTATGGAAATGTTCTGTCTTCACAGTGGTCTGAGTTTGTGTGTG